ACCTATAATCCCCAGTACTCGGGAGGCAAAGGCAGGTGAATCTCTGTGAGTTCGAGGCCACCCTCATCTACAGAGTGAGTTCCAGGACAGCTAGGGCTACACAGAGAAACAAACAAACAAAACAAACAAAAAACCTGTCTCAAAAAAACAAAAACAACAACAAAAAAGACCTACTCATGGACTCATGAAGACAAACAGCTTAAGGTTGATCTTAAATCCCAAGTGACCTAGCATATCCTCCTCCATCCTACCTAGGATTTGGCTACAGGTAACTTCTGTATTTGTGGGCAGACAAAATCGGGCAAATGTCATACCAGCATTATAATGGCAAAGCACTGACATATCCCGGACTTTCATTAGCAAGCAGAGTACATGGGTGCAGCTGAAAGGAGTAAACTGTAGCAACCATGGACCCGTCTTAGCAATGCTGAAAGGAAGAAATCGCAGAGTACTGCGTGCAGCATCATTGTATGGTGCCTACAGACACATACACAAACAGAAAGGGTAAAACCGAAAAGAGTTCTGTCGCAGATTGAGGACATCTTTCTCTCCTGTAGGTTGCCTAGTATCTTGTAAATGCAAGATAAATGCCACGCATGGTGGCACGTGTGTTTAATCCCAGCACCTGGGAGACAGAGACAAGCAGATCTCGGTAAGTTTGAGGACAGCCTGGTCTATGTAGTAGATTCCAGGCCAGCCAGGGCTTCATAGTGACTTCTCAAAAAGAGAAGAAGGGAAGTGAAGGGAACAGAAAGGGGTTTACAATGGAATTAAATATCCTGCAACAGTCACACAAACAGAAATTCCATAAAAACATAATGCTGGAAACTATTAATATATATGCAATAACCTTAAGGTTAAAAGGAAGGAAGGAGAGAAAGGGAGGGAGGGAGGGCTCTTGTGAAGTATTATGAGACAAAGACCTCCAAAACTGCCATTGAGTTAATTTTGTGTTGGCCATCTGCTGCTGGACATGGGGCTTGCTGTTAGACCCAATGATATTCCACTGGAGAAAACTAACTATTCTTTTGCTAGTGTCTCTTTTGGAGACGGCTTCTGCGTTAGGGATGGAGGTGTGTGTAGTCACTTCTCTTCTTTCTCAGTGCCAGGATCCATGTTAGCCATTTCTTCCCCCATGCCTTGGCTTTTAGCTCCTTGAGTATCTATCTTCTACTCCTTTTTGTTTCTGCTGGAAAGCCTGTCTTCCTGTTTTCCATATCCATCTTCTTGGGCTATTTCAGAATTTTTCCGACACCTTCACAGCCCAATATGGGACCTGCAGCCCCTTCTCCAGACTCTGATCCTAAGCCTAATTTTAAAAATCTGTCCAGTCTTTCTTTACAGCCAGTGCTTTGACCACTTACAATCGTGTTGGGCCTTCAGCAGCACAGGAACCTAGATGTAAAGCGTCGGCAGGGTCTTCCATGGCGTGGTGCCATTGCTTTAGTTTCTGTGTTTCTCTTGTCTCAGTACCTAATGACTTTTTGCCTCATTGTGCATAGTACTAACATCTATTAGTAGATTGTTGTGCTTTACATATGACTTAAAGCTCTTGGAGGCTATTTGTTGATTTCCATAAAGTCTGAGATAAATACGAACATACAAAAATGCCAACTAGAGCATACAATATATTCTGCTTATAGTTTCTCCCACAAAAATGTGCTCCATGCAGTGTTTGCTCAGGGTCCTCATACACCTGCATCATGTGGTGAATTCTTGGCACAGCCTGCGGTGGAGCTGGGTGCCACGGTGGAGCAGTTGCTGTCAGACAGATTGTTGCGCATCCCTCCAGCCCAGGAATTCAGGCCTCTGCCTGAGGTTGTCCTCCTTACATCTCTCACTAATAAAGTACATGTCATGGGGATGGAGATAGTGGATAAAAACTGAGAATGGAAGAAATAAACAAGTTCTGTGTCCACTTTAGTATGTACAATATTACATGGGTCTCTCCATATTAGCAAATTCATTTTGTGAGCATTCAAAGGAACAAACTTCACAGGTCTTTCAACATTACAATTTCCTCTTTGTTACAGAAGGAAAAAAAAAAAATCAAGCCAGGCATGTTGGCTCACACCTTCAATCCAGTACTCAGTCAGAGCTCTATGAATTCAAAGGTAGCCTGATCTACATAGTGAGTTCCTGACCAGCCAGCAATACACTGTAAGATTCTGTCAAAAAAGAAACTAGGTATATGAAGCTCTTTTTGGCTTTTTGAGACAAGGTTTCTCTGTGTAGCCTTAGCTGTCCTGGAACTCACTCTGTAGACCATGCTGGCCTCAAACTCACAGAAGCCCACTGTCTCTGCCTCCCTGAGCTGGGATTAAAGGCGTGCGCCACCACTGCCTGGCTATATGAAGTTCTCATGAGGGAAAAGACAACAAAATCATGGACTAAAGGAGCAAAAGTTTGGAGGGAATTAAAAAAAAAAAAAAAAAGCACAATTAAGTTCCTGGCCGTGGTGACACGTGCATTTAATCCCAGCACTTACACCGCAGACGCACAGTCTGTGACTGAGGCCAGACTATCTATAGAGTGAGTTCTAGGACAACCAGAGCTACATAGTGAGGTTCTGTCATTTTTATTGTGAGGTTTTAAAGAATTATAATGAATTAAGGGTGATTAATAATAAGGATATAATAATAATGATGATGATGATGATGATGATGAAAATCAGTAAAATAAACATTTAAGATTTTTCTCTGCTTTTTTTCATGTTAAACATCTATGTAGTCTTGGGAAAAATCTTAAATTTGACCTCAGTTTTCTTTACAAAAGTGGTTTGACAAGTATAACTACAGTGTGAAACACATTTTTTAAAAAAGCTTTTTGTTAGAGGGGAAAATAAATCTTGTCCACACTGGTAAAAATCAGATCATCTGAATTAATGTCAGACACCTTTGAAACAGAGAGGCTTCGCGTGAGGAGACCCTGAGGCAGCCCTTGTTCAGGAAAGAAGGTGCAGTTCTCCAGAACAATCTAGAGCAGCAATTCTCAGCCTATGGGGTCAGTTGGCTCTCTCCTTCACAGGGGTCGCATATCAGACATCCTGCATATCAGATATTTACATCGCAATTCATAACAGCAGCAAAATTGCAGTTACGACGTAACAAAGAAATAATGTTATGGATGGGGTCGCCATGGAATGAGGAATTGTATTAAAGGGTCGCAGCGTTAGGAAGGTTGAGAACTACTGGTCTAGAGCATTGCCATTGCATTTAGCGGATCCTCATGTGAGAATTAGGACTTTACTGGGGATTTTAGAGACGATAATACCCTGAGGGACTGTGGCACAGCAGTGGACTCAGGAGCACACTTCAGAAGCGACAGCTTCTCAGAGGACTGTGTGACTGCCTGAGACCTCAGAGGGTCTAAGACTGAGCGGAGGCTCTCTGCTGTGGATCTCAGCCTCCTAGGTCCTAGCAGTAATCCCAGCTCTTGCCAGGCCCTGCTCACTGTACTGCCCAAGGTTATGGCCTAATACTCCCCAGCCCCCACCTCCACTCCCACTCCCACCCAGCCTTAATGCTTGCAGTGTCATACTGTCTAGAGACTCCTGTTGCCATGTTCACACTTCAGGACAGACTTCCTGGCGCTGTCGAAACAGCCTCGATGATCCCCAGTTAATGACATCCGCATGAACATTGTGGTTTGAACTGCTCACCTTCCCTATGGGAGCCAGTTCATAGCCAAGTTGTCTCCCTAGACATTCTGGGTTTCCTCCCATTGCAGACTCCTGCTGTTAGGATCCCAGTAAGTGCCAAAAGCTCAGGAGAGCTTCACCTCCAGTCATGCACACAAACAACTCTGCAGAGACATAGGGTATAATGAAGAGTATGATGGAAAAAGGAGTCTAACCATCCTTCCCCTCTGCTGAGAATACACTCAGGAAACACTGAGTGATGTTGGGAGTGCTTTAGTTCTGTGACACCAGTTGTCCCCTTGCAGGCAATGTGAAGGACTGTTTCTGTTCTGAGTGCTGCTGATTGAAATGCAACTCTGTTTACCTACTGTCAGCAGGCATCTCAAGTGCTGTTCCTAAAACTAAACACCATTCATTAAAAGCCTAATCAGCTGAGAATTTGGAACGCTCAGAGGGGGGACGGCCCTGGTCTTTCATGGAGAAAATGTCCAACTGACAGGAGGTCTGTAAGCTCCAGTGACAGAAGGCTGCCACTGTCCCTCAGCCAAAGTGAGTCCTTTGTACCTGCTGAGTCTGTCTGGAGTCACATTTCCTCCCAGGGACCAGGAGCTGAGCCACCTTAGATACAGCCCACATATCCTGTGACTTGCTTTGGATTTTTAGATTTTTATTGTTGTGTCTGGAGGAATTTTCTAGCCTCCTCCAGGGCCTTCTGTTCTTTGGAGGCTAGCATCTTTCCTTCTGTTTTTGTGGGGTGCTAACTCATTTTCCCCATATACTTGTTCAATGCTGCCTGCTGTAGTCCCTTGATCTTCCTTGCCAAGTGACAGGAAGGTGTTTTTGAAGTACTGGAGCCTTTTGCTGGGGTTTTTATCCAGCTGTCCTTGTTTGGTATTTTGGCAAGAAGTCCTAGCCAGCATTTGTGCAGAGTTCACTTCATTATTTCTCTTCCTGCTTCTCAAATGGAACCAGGTTAACAAATGATAGAAAATAAAATCCAGATGATTTGCAGTAAGAAATGTGTTGTAAAAAGGAACATTGGTTATTCAGGCTGCTCAGAATGAGACTATGCAAATACATCCATTATCACACACCTTCCAGGGCTCAGCATGCTTAGTTCTGAGGCAAGGCAAAGCCATTCTGCTTAGCTTTTGATTTATTTAATATTTCTGTTTTAAATTAACAGAAGCTCACCAAAGCATAAAAGAAATTAGGTCTTCAGTAGGGCCTGCCACATAATCACCTGTGTTTCATGGCCCACCAGAGATGGTGAATGCAGTACGTTGGCTTTGGCCTGGGAGTTGATTGTTTGCCTGTGTGCCATTACAATGGAAATGACTGACATGCTTGTTAATTTCAGGAAACCTGTGACTTGGAGAAGATAAAGCCTGAAGCCAGGCGATACTTGGAAAAGTCAATTAAAATGGGAAAAAGGAATGGTCTCCATCTTTCAGAACAAGTAAGAAATGTGAGTTTATCTTTCTTTTTACTTTTATTAATAAGTTTTATTTTTACAATTTCATATATAAGACGTACCCTAATTACTCTCGCACACACATACCCGTCATCTCCTTCTACCTCTGTCATTTTCTTATTGAGGAGAAAAAGAAAATAATGCAACAAGAACCAATATATTTGGTGCTTTTTTCCTTTTTAAAAGATTAATTTTAACTTTAATTTTGTGTATGTCTGTGGGTGTTTGTGTGTGTGTGTGCTGATACCCACAGGGCCCAGATAGCAGCTTCTGGTGCCCTGGAGCTGCAATTACAAAAGTGGTTGTGAGCTGTCCAGTGTGGGTGCTAGGAATTGAACAAGGGTTCTCTGGAAGAGCTACCCAACTTCTTAACCACTAAGCTATCTCCCCAGCCCCTGCCTCAGCCTCTTTGCTAACCTTATTAATAACTGAGCAACTCAAAACGTAACTGTTCTCCACCAGATCGCACTGTACAGCCCTATTTGACCTGGAATTCCCTATGTACACCAGGCTGCCCTAGAACTCGGAGATCCACCTGTCTCTGCTTCTGGGATTACAGATGTGTACTACCATGCCTGGCAACGTTATTGGTTCTTAATCCTCTCCACGTTTTGTTTATTTTATGTGTATTGGACTTATTTTATTTTCTGTGTTTTATATTCTTAAAAAGTAAACTCCAGATTTCAGTAGCTGGTTGTATTCTTACTCTCTTGATCACACAGAGGCAAGTACTCTTAATCAAACCCTTACCAATCGAGAAAGCCAGCACTTTAGGATAGGATGCCCTGTGATTGATACATGCCCCTCACATGAAGAGATTAGCCACTGAAAAGCTCTGCCCAGACATTTTCATGTTGAAGGCAAATCAAGTCTTCTAGGTGCTGTGATAAACTCGGCTGTTTAATTAACCTCATTTCTCTTGGACAGGAAATATACCACATGATTTCTTTCCAGGTCATTCACATAGACTGCAGAACTGGAAATAAGTTTGACAGATATCCAAACCAAGTTTCATTTAGTGACTGATGTCATCCTAGCAGATAGCACTGAAGGTGGCACGGGGATGTCACATCTTTCTGTTACCTGAGTTTCCTGTGATTGGCTAAATGTACTTTGTTTCCTGGTCCTTATGTACAGACAGCTGATGTCACTCACTTGACCCTTCGACTTCCTGGTCGACCCTCCATTCTCTTGGGTGAATGAGAAGTAGTAATTAAGATGTAATTGGTTGCAGCAAATAATCTCATTTAAGCAACTTAAGGAAGTCAGAAAGTTTTAGAGGCAGAGACAGCTTTATGTGTTTTGGCTTTGCCCACCTGATATATTCTGTTTCTCTGCTCTGTCTTCTTCAGTGTTAGTGTTTATGAAAGACTAGCTTTTTATTAAAAAAAAAAAAAAAAAAGCCTATCAGTCTAAATACCACCATCAGACACACATTGAACTCTGTCTCTGGGTCTCAGGGCCCCACAGCAGATCTTTTGCCAAAGCCCCACTTTGAGAACTACTTGTTATCAAGTAGATTTCATTATCCAACATTGTCAGCAGAATAATACTCTCTTATATTTTTCTTGTGGTCCTCTGTCATCTACTCAGATCTCCTATCCAGTACTTTCCCAGACCTGTTAGAGGAGTGCCAGGTGTGTGTTATTGGAATCAGTCATTACTGCAGGAAGATGGTATGGTGACCTAATTGGTTTAGAGGACACGTCCTGGAATGTTCACTTTCAGGTCCTCTGACCTATGTGGCTGCTGCAGAATGGGGAAGTGGGGAAGAGGAATTGAGGATGCTGCAATGTGTGTTTAGGCAGTAGTAGCCAGACAGACTGACAGCAGCAGCTTTACAGAGTACATTTCTAAGAAAGGACTTCTGAGATAAGACAGAATCTGAATTCAAGTATCATTTAAACATGTTAGCTGGTAGCAATGAAAATGAAAGGCTTTCTTTGTCTTTAATGCCCTGCCTGTCTTCCTTCCCTTCAGGAAATCAAATCGATGAAGAAAAGAATGAGTGAGCTGTGCATTGACTTCAACAAAAACCTCAATGAGGATGATACTTTCCTTGTATTTTCCAAGGCTGAACTGGGTAAAAATTTGTTGTTTTGCTGGATCGAAGTATATCACCTCACAGTTTCCAACCTAAAATAAATGAAAAGAATTCTTTTAAAAATTGTTTAGTATCAGTGCTGGAGCGATGCCAACAGTTAAGGGCACTGGCTGCTCTTGCTGAGTACCTAGGTTTCCAGGTTTGATTCCCAGCACCCACATGTGTGACCTTTCTTTCTGACTTACACTGATGTTCATTTAATGGCCTTCAAGCCTTGACTGCTTTTTCTGCATCTCCATACTGTAAACTAGTCTCTTATTCTGGGGTGGTTTTTTTTGTTTTGTTTTGTTTTCGGCTTAATTTTGCCTGCTCTCCATTAAAATACCATCTGCATAGGTGCCCTGAAACATTTTCCTGTTTCAAACAAATTGTCATCTCCTGAGCCACCTGTCCCATCACTGCCCCCTCCCATTCCAACACAGTCCTAGTAAGGTTATACAGTTGTCCTCTCACTTGTACTTCAGTTACCACATCAGGTTCCTCGAGCTGCTGAAAAATGCTGTGCCCACCCTAAGTAAGGCAGTAACAAGGGGGAAAATGATGTATGAGAAAATGCCTCTTTGCAGGTGCTCTTCCTGATGACTTCATTGACAGTTTAGAAAAAACAGATGATGACAAGTACAAAGTTACCTTAAAGTATCCCCACTACTTTCCTGTCATGAAGAAATGCTGTGTCCCTGAAACCCGAAGGAAGATGGAAATGGCTTTTCATACAAGATGCAGACAGGTACCATAAATGTTTTTATTTTGATCTTAACTGAAGATATTAAGGAAAGGGTGTGCTTTGTTTGCCAGTGTCGAAGTCAGCCAAGTGACTGGTAGTCCTGTTTGCATGTGGATTGCATTTACCAATTCCACATACCTTCAAGATTTTTAGCTTTTATTTCCTCGTCGTCAGTTTGCTGGGTGTGCCACAAGATAGACTGTTGTAGTAAAAATAGAATAGATTAAAAACAAAGAAGTTGCATTCCTTTTCTGCATTTGAAGGCCAATGCTGGTAAGGAATGTCTCCCTCCGTAACAAGTAACCACCAAGGTAGATTCTAGAAATTATTATTACTCAGCCTGTGGGGAAGAAGGGAGACAGTACAGACCACACATCTTTAAAATCCTGTCTCAGGAAACTTAAAGAGCAAAACAACAGCACCAGATTACAAATAGCATCCATCAACTCCAGTCCTATTCCATTTAAGATGTATAGTCGTATCTAGTTACAGGGGAAGCTGAGATATGTACTCTTTAGTTGTCAACTATTTGCTTTTACTGTTAAGGGGGGGAATTAAAAACTGATTATGAATCAACCAGCCAGCTCCACCATTGTCCTGGCTACCCAAGGAACCGTGAATGTCTTTTCTTTTAGGACCGTTTGTCGGCCTCCAGTCTTTAATGTCTTGGGCTCAAACACCACTGATTGCCATTCAGTCCTTCCCATTTAAGAGTTTCATGATGTAGTGGCCTCTGAAAGGAAACGCGAATAATTAGCCCTCTCACCCCCAGTCCACACCCAGTGCTAGAATAGGAACAGAATAATCACATGGGTGGACAGAAAGGAGGAAAAAAGCAAAGCCTAACTAGGTGTGGTAGTGTATGTCCTTAATAACAGTATATGGCTCCCTGTGAGTTTGAGGCCACCCTGGTATATATACCAAGCTCCAGGCCAGCCAAGATGAGATGAGAACTTGTCTCCGGAAAAGAAGAAGAAGAGGAAGAGGAGGAACATAGGAGATACATAGAATTTTTAAAAACTTATTTGGCAAGAAGTCCTTTACCAGTTGCATTCCCTGCCCCCACGTTTGCCTGTAGAGGGTTCTTTCTTGATTATTTTCCCCTATGGCTAGATGGCGTCCTAGTGGTTTGAATTGCAAGGGTTAGGAACTAAATAGCCATACTGTTTTGCCTGTCCTAGGTTTAGAGCATCTTAAAAAACTTAGCTTCTTATATGTTAACCTCTAGGCAGTTAAGATAACTGTATCCAAATATTGCATTTGTTCATAGTTCTTGCCAAGTCTTAGAAACTGATTGATTTCTATATTTGTTCCTCTGTCTAAAAGATGTTGCTTTGGGGCCTCTTGGAAAAGGTACGCTTTTGCAAGGAAAAAAGGAAGTAGGCAGTGTTCTCCAATTAATCTCTGTAGTGAGTAACTACCCATGATGTTAGGAATACAGCACAGCTGCTTTGACAGCAGTCTGAATCCACACGGAAGTTCTCCCTCATCTCCCAGCTTCTCATCTTCCTTCTTTGCATTTTGTGTCTTATAAACTAGACCCTTCTTTGAGCCCATCTCTCTCCTCTGAATCTTTCTAAAAGTAGTATAAAGTGACAAGCATTATTATTTTTCCCAAGCAATTCCTCTAAGACCTAATAACTCCATGGCATTTTTCCAAAGTTATGGCAAGCAGCAGCTACAGCAAACATTACTCATAGTATGGTGTATGTAGTACGCCCGCAGTGAGCCCACACCAAGCCTGTGTCACTAGAGCTGCTCTGCCACAGGATCTCCCTCTCTTCGCTTTCCACTTCTGTACTTTTTTAATTTTTGTTGGAGCAGCATTTTATTCCAGTCAGTCTCCATATTCCTTAGTACATCTTTACAAAACCAATCAAAAGCATAGTAAGTCAAACTGTAAAGTAGGTTTGAGGCTAGCCTAGGCTGTAAAATGAGCCGTGGTAGCCAGGCACAGTGGCACACACCTGTAGTCTCAGCACTCGGAAGACAGAGGCAGGTAGATCTCTATGAGTTTGACACCAGCCTGGTCTACAAAGCTAATCTAGGATAACCAAGGGCTACACAGAGAAACCCTATCTCAAAAAAAATTAAAAATTAAAAAAAAAATTTCTCAAAAATCAAAACAAGTCAGGTTTCACATCTGCAGGAAGCTGAGACAGGCTAGTCCCTATGAATTTGATAGTCTAGGCCCCAGAGTGAGGTCCTGACTTAGACCCCGCCCCCATACACACCAGAAAGAAAATACAGAGTTGGCAATGGCTCAGTGGCTAAAGACACTAGCCATGCAAGCCTGACAACCTATACCGAAAGACAGCTGAGGTGGCACATGTGTAATCCCAGCGGTCTCCCAGAGAGAGGGGAGGCTGAGGCAGGAGAATCACCTGGGACCTCATGGACCAGCTGCTGTACCATCCGGTATGCGGTAGAGCAGTCAAAACGAAAGAAACTGTGCTTCAGCCAAGGGGAAGGCAGAGGCAATCAGAAAACTGTCCTCCTACCTCCACATCCATTGTTCAGTATGCACATATTTCCTGCCATATATTGGCCGCACACAAGTAAAATATTTAAAAGTTTGTATATATAAGAAAAGAAATTGGTTCGTAAATAATTTGCTGACTTGATTGTTGAGATTAATATTTTTCTTTGATATTATTAGGATTACTTTTCCAGGGCTGAGGATATGGCTCAGTAGTTAAGAACAGAGGACCCAAATTTGGTTCCCAGCACCATAAGTAAAACCAGTAGCAGGCAATCTAATGACACATTTGGATCCTCAAGCACCAGACACACGCACAGTGCACATATATATGCAGGTAAAACACTCATACAAAGAATAATAAAATCAACTTTTAAAAATTAAAAACAAAAAGAATTACTTTTTCTTTTAAAATGTTTTTCTGAGTCTGAAGCTATCACTTGGGATAGTGAGTTCCAGGCCTGCCAGGGCTACATAGTAAGACCTTGTCCCAAAAGGAAGCAAAACAAATATCAGAGACAGAGAGAATTGTGTTCCTAAGTATTTTGGTACCAAATAGAAAATGTGTTAAGGAAAAGCCTATAAAAAAAGTATTTTAAATTAAAATACCATGGTATGTTCCTCTATTTCTGCTATATAAACAAAATATTACAGGCTGGGTAACTTACGAACAATGGAGATTTGTTTTTCATGATTTTGGAGGCAGGAAATTCAAGATACTGTGTGCTCATGTGGAAGAAGGAAAAACTTTTAATTACAGGGGAAGAGGACAAAAAGTACCTAAGCTGTTTTTTTCCAGCTCTCTTGTAAGCCACTAATCAAGCAGTGAGGATAGTGCTAAAAGGTCTCATCTCTTAAGACCACAGCAATACAAATTATTTTCCAACATACTTTAGGGAAATGTTCAGACATTAACATGTAGAATTAAGTATATTTACATTTTGTGGAACCATCACCAATACCTATTCACAGAATTTTTCATGCTCTAAATGAAACTGCATTCATTACAAACTAACTCCTCATTCACTGTTCTGCTTTCCATGTCTGTAAGCCTAATGGCTGCAGGAAGCAAACATGTGTCTTGTGGCTCACATTCACTTAGCATAATGTCATAAAGGCTTACCACATCGTAGCATGTCACAATGCCCTCCTCTTTAAGGATGAATTATATGTCGTCGTATGGAGGTACCACATTTTCTTGATCCAGTCTTCTGTCACTGTCCACGTCTGTTGTTTCCATGATTTTACTATTGAATAATGATGCGTTAAGCATAGATATCTATTGTGTGTCAGTTCTTTTGAATATTTTCCCAGAAGTAGAATTGGGATTAAATGGTAATTCTATAGGGTTTTTGTTGTTATTGTTGTTGTGGGGGTGTTTTGCTTTGGGGGTTTTGTTTTGTTGAGGTTGGCTCTCTTATATAGCCCTGGCTGGTCTTAAACTCATGATGTGACCAGTAATGACCCTGAATTTCCTGAGCCTCCTGCTTCCACCTCCCAAGTACTGAGATTACAGGCATGTGCGACCATGCCTCATTTATGAACTAGGGATCAAACCTCAGGCTTCATGAATGTTAGGCAAACACTTTTTTCCCAACCCATCCTTGTGTAACTGTTGAAAAATCACTGTATCAATTTGTAGAGCAGCTGAACCATTTTACATTCTCTTCATCAATACAAAAGTGTATCAGTTTTTCTACATCCTTATCAGCACATCATTTTCCATGTATGGATATAGAATAGCAGAACAAACTGGTGTGGAGTTAAAATGTTAAATTTATGCTTTGTATAATTTGCCACAAACACATCAGAAAATTGTAACTATGAGTATTTGAGTTATAATCCTGAGTTGTAACTTTGAGTGTTATATAACTGAAAATAAGTGAGAAATCTCAGTAGTTCATGAAGCATATTTTGCTCTGAGTTTACAGTACATCATAGTTTATGAAGAACTTACAGCTATCTCCAAAGAATAAAGTGTTATAAATTTTTTCAGGAATAACATACCACGTTTGCTAATTTTCTTAATGCTGAAATGGAAGCAATAGTTAAGATGGTCCAAAACCGCCTGGCAGTGGCACGGCCTCACTAATGCAATGACTGCTCTAGTGCTTTTCATGCTGCTGATGGTTTTCTTCTGGTTTTGTTGTTCCCGTTACTAGGAAAACAGCATAATTCTGCAACAGCTCCTCCCGCTGCGAGCACAAGTGGCCAGACTACTCGGCTATAACACTCATGCTGACTTTGTCCTTGAACTGAACACTGCGAAGAGCACAGGCCATGTGGCGGCCTTTCTAGGTCAGTCTTTATTTAGGGTTAGCTGTATTGTTTTTCTTTCCTTTGCTCTATATCATCTTACTGCATTATATCACCTTAACGTCAGCCTCAGTTGGCCGCCTAGGCTGCCTTCGAGAACATCCTGGTTTCAGAAGGGTATTGATAAGCTATTACCTTAGATAAATTCACAGTTCCTGAGGCTGCTGGGGTTCTCTATCGCATATGTTGTTGGGACATTGACTCCATCTACCATATGAGATATGGTAGATGAGCTAATAGAGTATTTAGCTCTTTGCCTTTGCTCATGGCCTCTTGAGTATTGGATACTATACTCTGACTACCGGTAGATTTGTATGAAATAAGCTGAAGATATGGTATAAAATGAAAACAGCATACATAAAAAACTGGTGCTCTACCTACCAAAGTCCACTTTTAATATAGAGTGTGTCAAAAGTGTTACCTAATTACTGTAGTCACATTAATTTTAAGCCTATTTTTATAATGCTTTTTTTTTTTTAAACTAGGGTTGCCTGGGCCTAGTGGCACACACCTTTATTCCCAGCGTGAAGACAGATCTCTGTGAGTTCAGGGCCATCCTGGGCTACATTGTGAGTTCCAGGCCTGCCATAGCTACATAGTGAGACCTTGTCTGAAGGAAAAAACAAGAACAACTAAGGTCTCTGGTATAGGGAGATAGCTCAGTAAATAAAGTGCCTACTATGCAAAAATGAGGACTAAAACCAAATCCCTACAGTGCATGTAAAAGCCAAGTAGGTAAGGACCACCTGGAGTCCCCACACTCAGGGGTAAGGCACCCTTAGGGCAACCAGGCCAGCTAGGCCAGACAACTTACAGGCAAGGTTTCAACTGAGAGACCTTGCTTCAATAAATAAGGTGGAGAGCGATTGAGAAAGATAAAAAACTGTTAACACGCATGTACAAGTGAGCTCACTTACATATAGGCTTCATAGACGTGTTCTGGGATTAAAGGCACATCCTACCTCACCTAGCACAACTCTTTGGAGGTTTGTTGTTGTTTTGGTTTGTTTGGTGTTTTTTTTTTATTTTTTTTCGAGACAGGATTTCTCTGTGTAGCCCTGGCTGTCCTGGACTTGCTTTGTACACCAGGCTGGCCTCAAACTCAGAGATCTGCCTGCCTCTGCCTCCCTGAATACTGGGCTTACTGTCGTGCGACACTGCACCCAGCTGCACAAATTCTTACATGATATTAAAATTACTTTTTCTCCTTCAACAGCATATCAAAAGTATTTTTAATAGCCTTTTATTAGTGAATCAACTTGGAACTGATTAATAATGGGTTGAAATTGGGCATGGTGGTACACACCTATAATCTAAATAGTCAGGAGGCTGAGACAGGAGGATGCCATGAATTTGTGGCCAACCTGAGTTATGTAGCAAGTACCAAGTCAGAGAGCCACAGTGTGAGACCCTGTCTTAATGAACCAATAAATGAAAGTTAAATAATAAAAATAGGATAAGAAACCAGCCTTTAGCCTAAAATTTACTTCACTATTTTTTCTCAATGGTCATGTCATAGTTTACATGCATATATGGTAGAATCACATATAACTTACAAACAGGTGTTCCATTAATGACGTCCTCTAATTGATTTGTGCATTTATGAGACATTTGGAATCGCTGCCTTGTATCAGTAGAAGGTGGTGTGCTAAATGGTAGAAGCACAGAGACAGTGAGGCAGTGTCCTTTCCCCGGGCTCTCCGCTGGGGAAAAGAGCAGAAGTGTGAACAGGTAAGGTCTGATATGGTGACTTCCTGTAGTGGTGACTGCCTCTGCTGAGAGGCCTGCCAGCAGCTACCCCACCAACTTAATCACGCTCTCTGGCTCGCTTGTGCTGCCTGTCTCCACACAGCCTCTACAGGCCTAATGATAGCTGTATTTCCCTTATCTTCTTTGAGGTTTTTTTTCTTTCTTCACAGCGTTCATTGGGCAGATGCCACCATCTCACACCTTTGGGCTGCCTCTAACCTATGTCCACTACAGATCCAAGCACATCTTTATCTTAACATAGCTAACGAGTTGTAAAAAGAAATTCGAAAGAGCTTACTCAATTAATCAACTTTTTTAAAAGCAAATAATCAGTTTTTGTTGTTGTTACTGTTTCTCTGTGTCGCCTTGGCTGTCCTGGACTTGCTTTGTAGACCAGGCTGCAACCCACCTGCCTCTGCCTCCCTGAGTGCTGAGATCAAAGGCATGCACCTCCACACCCAGCTAAATAATCAGAATTTGACAACAGTATTTAAATTGTGGTAACCATAGTTTTCTCTAGCTAAAATCAAGAGCTTCTGTCTCCAAATCTTCCTTCATCATGGCGCTGTGAAAGGCAGGCCAAACTCATGGTCAGTTGTACAAAGCAGTTTCCAGGCGATGTTGCCTGCAGGTCACAGGAGTTGTTTTAGAACCTTACTAAGAAATACACACGCACACGCACACACACACACATGATTAGTATTACCATTGCTTTGTTCTGAACCATAATGTTCCTGGGTCAGAGTTCTTGAGGTAAGCTTCACCATTGTTGCCATTGGAAGGAAATTATGGCTGGGTTTGGCATGAAAGACAAGGGGGCAAGAGTTACCAACTAAATCACTCTGGAGAAAAAGCCCTGCCCCGTTGAGCTCTTTTCCTTCTCTGTTGGTTCCTCTGACTGGTCATGTGGAAAACTGGCAGTACTTGTGAATATGCTTGCTCCTAAGGACGCCTCACTAACTTGGCCATTTCCCTCACAGATGATTTAAGCCAGAAATTAAAACCCTTGGGTAAGGAAGAGCGGGAGTTTATTTTGAGCTTGAAAAAGAAGGAATGTGAAGAGCGAGGTTTTGAATACGACGGGAAAATCAATGCGTGGGACCTACATTACTACATGACACAGACAGAGGAGCTCAAGTACTCAGTGGACCAGGAGTTCCTCAAGGAATACTTTCCCATTGAGGTGGTCACTGAAGGCTTGCTAAGCATCTACCAGGAATTGCTGGGACTTTCATTTGAGCAAGTGGCCGATGCTCATGTTTGGAATGAGAGCGTTTCACTTTACACCGTGAAGGATAAAGCTACTGAAGAAGTGCTGGGACAGTTCTACCTGGACCTCTATCCAAGGTACTGGATTGGCTGTTGAAAGCGACCTGACTCCACCCTCGCATATTCCCAGCATGTGATGAGAGGTACAGAGGTTAAGATTTAGGCTCTCCCTGAGTTGTGGTGGCACACGCCTTTAATTCCAGCACTCAGGAGGCAGAGGCAGGTAGATCTCTGTGAGTCCAAGGCCAGCCTGGTCTACAGAGAGAGTTCTAGAATAGCCAGAGCTATATAAAGAAAACTTGTCTGGAAAGAAAAAAAAAAAAAAAGACTTTCTGAAACCAGAATATCTGCCTTCATCCCTTACTAGCCAAGCTACCCAGTCTTGCTGTGTATTTTCTGTACTTGAAACATGAAAGATGGAAATGCTTGTAGCACTGGTTTTGTGGATTGTTGGCTGATATATTCATATCATTTAGAAGACTGCACAGCGCATAGCTGAGTTCTTTAAAAAAAACAAACAACCCAAATTTGTGTGTGTGTGGTGTATGTGTGTGTGATGCACAGACTGTGTGTATATTGTATGTGCATGTGTGTGTGCGTGTGCCAGGCCAGAGAGGACACCTGAACTAACGCCCAGCCCATATAGTAAGTTTTGAATAAGCATTAGCTAACATCACCGTCACCATAACTTTTTGCTTAACTTAAAATTGCTACCAGAGTGTTTATTTTCTAGATGAGCTGTCTGCCTGTCAGTGATGCTGTCTGTGAGTGTTCCCTCTGTCCTGTGAGAGCCAGTGCAGTGTAGAAGTAGCAGAATCTTTGTTGTTAATCTAATGAGGCCATATGCTCGACTGACATAACCTCCTTGAGGTGCTCGTTCTTAGCCCTTCACGGGGCTACTTGTGCACTAAGGACTGTGTCTGCACGTTTCCCAACCATTTGATCAAGGATAAAATCCCAAATACTATTGTTTAAAGTGTAGAACTACCAGCTCCACATTTCATCAGACACAGAAGATTCGGATCTTTTCCTCCTTAGGCAACTTTCTAAAACAAACTCAACCAACCTTTTGCAATTTCTAACCCATTTTACTAAATAGGCTAAAAAACATGGCACGCCTTCTTCAGCAAAGTGTAGGTGAGTGATCCAGTGGCCCTGGATGCTCGAGGAAGGGTGGGTCGTGATCCATTTGGTGGCACAGGTATTCTTTAGCACCTGGGCTAGCCCAAAGCTTTTTGGAATGTGCCAAGAGGGCCAGTGATGGCTCAGTGGGTAGAGGTGCCTGCCATCAAGGCTGACAACATGAGTTTGATTCCCAGGAGCCATAGTGAAAGGAGTTAACTGACTCCTTCTTGCAAGTTGCCCTCTGACCTATACGCACACACACACTCTAGTATGCACATACCCAAGCACATATATACACACATGCAGGCATACACAAGTGTCAGACACAGTTTTATGCAAGTACGTAAGAGGGTCAGCCTTTGGGCCAGCAAGATGCAATAGTGGTAAAAGTCCTTCCTCTCAGGCCTAACAACCTGAGTTTGATCCCCAAATCCCACAAGGTGGCAGGAGAGGACTGACTCCTGAGAGGTGTACTCTGGCCTTCACAAAGGAGCTATCCACATGTACACACACACACACACGCACACACACACACATGCATGCACACACACATGCACACAAACACACAAATAAAATTTAAAGCGGAAAATCTTTGAACATTACAGTGTCCTATGCCTGTCTCCAAATGCACTTCTGAGGGACAAAGTCCTCCCACACTGCTGGGTTTCCGCCAACATATTTGAAGATCTGGTCATTGCTACCAGAAATTTGGTGGAGAACACAGAGCAATTGTGAGGATAATGACCTAGTTCATTCTTGTTTTCTGTCATAGTCACTGTGTGTGGGTAAAACATACATGTGCTGTCTGACTCGGGAACAAGACTTGTATTTGTCTTTTTCAAGCACATTTTATTTTTATTCATCCAATGCTGAGAGTCTCAAACAGACAAAATCTTACGATTCTAACGTTAACTGCAAGGCAAGGACTCCCAGTCTCTGTTACTTCATAAATACAACATGAAAAGACAGTCTCAGAAGAAAGATAATTTTTAAAATAACTAAACTGAGTTTTTGTTTGTTTGTTTTGTTTGGGATTGTTGTTTTGAGACAGGACCTCTGTGTAGCCCTGGCTGTCCTTAAGTGTACTATATAGACCAGGCTAGCCTAAAACTCAGAGAGATGCTCCTGCTTCTGCCTGCTGAGTGCTGGGGTTAAAGGTGTGCGCCACCACACCTGGCCTCAGGTTTATTCTTAAAAAGGAAAAGACATGGGCTGGAGAGATACTCACCAGTTAGGAGAAATGGCTGTTCTCTTACAAAGGACCCAATTCCCTCCTATATGGTTGCTCTATAACTCCAGTCCCAGGGGTTCCAAAACCCTTTCTGCCCACACGGGCACTGCATATACCTGGTATAGAGGCATACCTGTAAGTAAACACTCATAAAATAAAAAGAAATAAAATATCCAAAAAAAAAAAAAACCAACAACATAGGACCTAGAGAGATGGCATAGGGGTTAGAATCATTTGATACTCTTCCAGACAACCAGAGTTCAGTTCCTACGCCCACCTCAGGCAGCTCACAACTACCTGTCATTCCAGGTCCTGACATGACGCCTTCTGGCTTCCACAGGCACCTGCACACGTGATATACACATGCCCATAAATAACAAAATAATTTTAAGATAAATTATAAGTACGAGCAAAAAAGATTAAAGCCTTTCTGAGAATTTAAAAATTAGCAGAAAGGCTTTAAGAGTAAAGTGATTAAATTAAGATTTTTAGCGGGAGCATTCACCTCGTCTGTGCAGCACATTGCCACTCATTTTACACACTCATCAAGTACACATAGTACAAACATATACTAAGATAACAGGGTAAGCATGCTCGTGTTCTTTTTACCTGTTGGTACATTTCCAATTCGCTCCATGAGAATTCCAAGAACACTGACAGACTCATCGACTGCCCACAGTGCTGGAGTTACAGCCATGGGCCATCACGCTCTGATGAGTCTGTCTTGCAGTTGCCAACTCTGCCAAAATTATCCAGCTGACCGTCCAGAGCATGCAAACCTTTCAGCATCTTTTTTTGTGTGTGTGTGTTCATATTTTTATTTTTTTCTTCATTTTGCATCCTTGTTGTAGCCCAGTCTCTCCTCCCCTCTCAATTTCACCCTCCTTTCCTCCCTTTACCTTTCAGCACCTTAATCTGGTTATTTACTTCAAATCTGCTCATGGCTCTAGAAACCCTATTGTATGTGAATATGGTCCCTTATTGCTTTGCATCTTTGTATTTCTCACAGGTTGATTGAAAGCCAAGCATTTGAATAGGACAGTGAAGGCTGCAGTTAATTTTACATCTAAAATTGGCCCCCCATTTACTTGTGCTAGGCATTTTATATGGGGTATTGGTTCATTTAGTAGTCAGGTAGGTTCCTGAGCTACCACTGCCTTGATTAACCTCTCTGTGGCTACAGCCTTCCCTTGTTCTAGATTGTGTCTAGATTTGATTTTCTACAGTTTTTTCTAATTCTCTTGCACTTTTCACTACATCTCTGTGCTCTTCTCTGGAGCAGGTCCTCATCCAAGCTCTCTAAAAGCAGCGGGCTGCCGTGGTCCATTACTAGCTGCTCACAAGCCTGGTTGGAGGTGGGAACTCTGTTGCTGTCATCCCACATCAGTCTCTCCTTTGTTGTTTCTTGTTTTTGTACATCTTCTTTTCCTGAGACAGAGTGTGGCCAAATACCCCAGACTGAACTCAAGCTCCTAGATACCTGGGATCACTAGTGTGTACTGGTGTGGTGACACCTGGCCAGCGTCACCCTTAACCAGAGTGCTGGAGTTACAGACTGTGAAACTGTGTCCTGTGTAACCTGTGTGTCCTGTGTCTTAGGGTTGGGTCCTGGTCCTGCCTCATGCATAGCTGTAGATTGATTTCATGGTGTGTTTCTGCCCCACAGAGGCTCTTTTCCTTCCGGGGGGGGGGGGTATTAAGGCCCTTGGCCTTTAGAGGACAAATGAGAAAGCATCTAGGTGCCGCTTCATACTCTTTCCAGCACTGACGCTGTCTTAGGAATGCCTGCCCATCCCGTTCTTTCTCTGTGTAATGTCTGATACTGCCGGTGAAGCTGCTTTTCCCTTGTATGCAAGCCCTGTGTTTGTCCAGCCCAGCACCGAACTTTAACAGTGGCCATAATTTCCTCTCACAGTGGTGTCCAGTATTTGCCCTAAGTTAAGGCAGCACTGTACTCCCTCTCCTGTCTCCTTGGAAGCCCCTGTGCTAGATGGTGGACTTATTGACTTCCCTTCTACAGCAATTCTCTGACGGCTTCAGAAAAGCTGAGATGTGTAGAATGTCCAGGATGTCACTGTTGGATTCAAGACAGGAGCAATTCCCTGTCTAACTTTTATGCATCTGAATAAGAACCTTTATTGTTGTTGTTGTTGTTGTTTTCCCTTTAAGGGCATCAGTGGGGACAAGGGGTAGGGGAAGACATGGGACCAAGAAAGTATCTTCTGGTGTCAAGCATGACTTCACATCTGGAAGAAGCCATTTTTTTGCTGAAGAAGGGTGTCCATTTCACAATTCTGTTTCTGTCTCCCAGGGAAGGAAAGTACAACCACGCAGCCTGCTTTGGTCTCCAGCCAGGCTGCCTTCTCCCTGACGGCAGCCGGATGATGTCTGTGGCCGCCCTGGTGGTCAACTTCTCACAGCCTGTAGCAGGCCGGCCCTCTCTACTGAGACACGATGAGGTTCGCACTTACTTCCATGAGTTCGGGCACGTCATGCATCAGATTTGTGCGCAGGTGAGCAGGGTGTTTTCACAGCAAACCCACCAGTTGCTTCCAGTTGTTGCTTTCATTTTGGCTGTTGGCAGGTTCCTCTCTTTGCCTCATTCTTTTTTCACAAGCTGAACATGTTGGAGAAGTGGTAAGCCTTCAGAGACATGCAATTTTCCTTGTCATATCCTCTCTCACACTGTATTTTCACATTGAGGTTAGCCCACTGATGAAAGAGCTTGTAAAATATCTGCTTGTGGAGAAACAACAGTGACTTCTAACTACCTCAAACCGTTATTCCTTTTCTACTACTGAGTAGCCTCAAGTTAAAATCACAAGTAATACAGCCATGTAGAGTTAGGTGTGGTTGCTAATTGCAACCCTGTGCTTGGGAAAGGGGCAGGAAGATCAGGAGTTCAAGACCAGCCTTAACAAGTTCAAGGCTACATGAGAGCCTAACACAAAAAAAATAAATGACTGTGTACAGGATTTTTCCAGGAAAGAGGTATGTGCAGTAGGTTGAAAGAGATTTCCTTAGGGCCCAAAATGAAAAGTGATTGTTGCATGGGTGTGATATGTGTGTGTTCATGTGTGTCGAGGCCAGAGGTCAGTATCTGCTGTTCTTCAGGAGCTGTCCACCTTGTTTTTGGAGACAAGATCTCTCACTGAGACTTGGGACTCACTAGTCAGGTGAGGCAGTCTGACTAGCAACCCCCAGTGATCCACTTGCAAGCGCACACCACCATGCTATCCTTTTAGAGGGAGTTCTGGGGTTTGACGAAAGTCCCCGTGCCGGTGTAGCCAGTGCTTCACAGCTGAGCTGTCTCGAAAAGGGGATTCTTTTCTCTCTCTCTCTCTCTCTCTCTCTCTCTCTCTCTCTCTTCTTTTTCTTGTTTTTGAAACAAAAATCTAATAAGGTATAGCTCAGTTGGCCTTGAACTCATGATCTTCCTGCCACAATCTCTGGTAATAGTGATGTATGGGTTTTATGTTTTGTTTTGTTTTAGGGCTGTTGGTTAAATCCAGGGCTTCACGATTATGCCAGGCAAGCCCTCTACCACCGCAATATATTCACAATCAAAAGACTATGTTTATCTTAGTCTGGCCCTGGTTCCACTGCATACAAAGCATAAAAGATATTTATTCTCAACTGAAGTTATCCATTTAACCATTTAACTAGGCCTAAACTACTTTTGGTTTATGTTACACACTTGTTACTATTTAACTATTATTTATATTATTAACTTCTAATCACTTAACCTAAAGTTTTAAATATACTGGTAGCAGACATTAAGAGATAGCTTTCTAAATTTGGAATCTCTGTGTATATCTATTGATAACCTTTTTTATCTGTACACACAATCACAAATCATACATACTCAACTATAATAGGTAAACTAAATTATTTAAAGATAGTTCTTTCAATATATTACTTGTTTATTCTGGTGCCTCCATTTGTTCCTTAAAAAAAAAAAAAAAACTGGTCATGCTGGCACACACCTGTGATCCCAGCACTGGGGGAGGCAGAGGCAGGAGGATTTCTGTGTCTTTGAGGCCAGCCTGGTCTACAAAGCGAGTCCAGAACAGCCAAGGCTATACAGAGAAAACCTGTCTCAAAAAAAATAATAATAATAATAATTAATTAATTAATTAATTAAAATAAAGGGAAGCAAGCAAACAAAAATGCCTATGGCTCCCTGTAGTGGTCATGCTTGTAATCCCAGCGTACAAGAGGCTGAGGCAAGATTGCCATGAGTTCAAAGTAGTTAATGCTTAACATGTTCATGATCTTGGGTTCAGTTCCCAGCATACATACATACACACATACACATACCACACACCACACACCACACATATACATACACACCCGGGGGTGGGGGAAAATAGTCTGTTACTTTACATAAACAGTGGGAAATACAACAGGAGTCTGTCCAGATATCTAAGTCCAAATGCTGCCTAAAAGGAGAAACCTTTTAAGATAATCTCACATTTCTTAGCTGTTTTAAAGTCTGTTCTCCCAGGACACTGGAGTCCCACAGTTGTTTTTCATTATTGAACTTCTATCATTATCCTTTCTGTGCTCTTAAACTCTCTTGAATTGTGATACTTCTATGATTAAATTAGAAAAGTAAAAATAACTTTTTAAACTTGAATTGTATGGATTAGATCAGCCAAGTTCTACGTGTATATCTGTATGCAGATAAACAAGGCTCTACCTTTGGAATGGTTGGCCTTTTATTTATTTATTCATTAATTTATTTTAATTTTTTATGTATATGGATGTTATACGTGTGTGTGTGTGTGTGTGTGTGTGTGTGTGTGTGTGTGTGTGTGTG